GTAAGGGCCAGTGCCCTTCAAGAGCCGATGAAGGGACATGCCTAGGCCCCAGGCTGATCGAGGGACACGATGCATCAGTCGAATATCTCTCAAATACTGAAAACCAATCAAAATCTCTGGGAAATGTCCAAAGATCCATCATTTACAGAAACTGTGGGTAATGACACTGTGACACTAAGAACATTGTGCCAAAGGCTGCGTACAGAATATATATTTCCAATATGAAGGAATAAGGATCTCAGTCACATACGCAGAGTACGGTTACTAGACCGCCTGGAAATATTGTTGATTTTCCGTATTGGTGACTTTTTTTCCTTTTTTTTATGTGTTCACAGATTGCATCTTCGGAAGTCATCTCTTCCCCATGAAGCGAAAGGAACCAATTGGCAAAAATCCTGGTGAAAACCAGGTTCCTAGCAGGAGCCTTGTACCTGTGAAACATAACCATGAGAGCCATAAACATGAGAACTATGAACACGAGAACCATGAACATGAGAACCATGAAAATGAGAACCATGAACATGAGAACTATGAACATGAGAACTATGAACATGAGAACTATGAACATGAGAACCATGAAAATGAGAACCATGAACATGAGAACTATGAACATGAGAACCATGAACATGAGAACCATGAACATGAGAACCATGAACATGAGAACCATGAACATGAGAACCATGAACATGAGAACTATGAACTAAGAACTATGAACGTGAGAACTATGAACTAAGAACTATGAACGTGAGAACTATGAACATGAGAACTATGAACATGAGAACTATGAACATGAGAACCATGGATTTGAGCAATTTCCAGCAATTTCCTTTCTGCGTCAGTCGAATCTCTCTCAAATACTAAAAAACAAAAACAGTTTCTGGGATATGTTTTAAGATCCATCATTTCCAGAAACTTTGGGCAATGACATTGACAACGTTCTGCCTGAGGATGTGTAAAGAGAATTTCTCCAACATAAAGGATCACAGCCTGTTCTTGAGAAGTAAATTACGAAAACCAAATGCAAACTACAGTTCTCAGAACACCTGTGAGACACTTTGCGTGAACTGCATTTTCCTTTCTGCATCAGTCGAATCGCTCTCAAATACTGAAAAACAATGAAAATCTCAGGGATATGTCGACAGATCCATCATTTCCAGAAACTTTTGGTAATATTTGGCCTGAGGATGTGTACAGAGAATATTGCTACTGTAATATCACAGTCTATGAAATGACAAAAAAAACCAAATGCAAACTACAGTTCTAAGAACGCTTGTGAGACGTTTGGCGTGAACTGCATTTTCCTTTCTGTGTCAGTCGACTCTCTCAAATACTGAAAAAACAATGAAAATTTGGAGATGTCTAAAGATCCATCATTTCCAAAAACTTTGGGCAATGACCCTGTCACATTGACAACACGGTGACTGAGGATGCGTACAGAGGATACCTCCAACATTAAACGTCATAGTCTATTCTGGAGAATTAAATCAGAAAAAAAAAAATGAAAACTACGGTTCTTAGAACGCATGTGAGACACTTGGTGTGAACTGCATTTTCCTTTCTGCGTCAGTCCAATCTCTCTCAAATACTGAAAAAATAGTACAAATCTCCACGAGATGTCTAAAGATCCATCATTTCAAGAAACTTTGGGCAATGACACTGTAACACTGACAACATTGCGCCCGAGGATGCGTACGTGTACAAAGAATATCTCCAACATTAAAGATCACAGTCTATTCTGGAGAATTAAATTACAAAAAATAGTTGTGAACTACATGTACAGTAATAAACATGATTTCTGGCGTGGACTGCATTCTCCTTTCTGCGTCAGTTGAGTATCTGTCAAATATTGGAAGACAATGAAAATCTGCAGGATATGTCTGCAGATCAATCATTTCCAGACTCTTTGGGCAATGGCGTTGACAACATTTTACCTGAAGATGTGTACAAAGAAGGATCTCAGTCTTTACACAATTTATGCAAACTATGGTTAATACTTGAATGTCTGTCAGACATTTAACGTGAACTGTATTTTCCTTTATGCATCAGTTGATTACAAGATTACTAAAAGAGCGCATATCTAGTGAAGCCTCCGCATGCATATTTGCTACCATCGGGCATCAACGCTTAAAGACATTTAAGGGTAATTGCAACACGCCATTGAAAGTATCTACCACCAGCATGTTGAAAAACAACAAGTCGTTGTACTCTCGCCTCCCAGTAGTTGGTCAGAGTAGGGGTTTTGACATCAAAGATGTATTGGCATATTGTCTTGGTGAAGTACCATTCCAATTGGCAAATGGTATCAACTCCCTTGTCAAAATGGACAAGAGTTCACTGCTGAAATTGCTAGAACACAGAGGGGACAAAGAGGCAATCCACCTATCTGAGCCCCCTGCAACCGTGCATTGATTGTGGATGCCATGGAACTGCTACAATCCTTGTCCAGCATACCAGATACATTTGGGGAATCGGCATTGCAAGTTCTGGGGCAGCTAGAATCAATGGCAAGAGGCTGCGGGTGTCCACGGTTGGACTGGGCCTGCGACACTTACCCACCCATAAATATTAAGGGACTGGAATGAAAAGAGCTTGGACAGGCTCTGAATCCATAAAAATATATGGAAAAGAAGTTCCTTGCTGATGGTGTTAACGTAGAAACCTTGGTTCAATTCATGTTCAGCGTTTCACAAGATACACGAAATATCAATATCAAGAAATTTTGTTGCCGCGCACGGAGACTCATGCCACCAACTACAATGTAACCTGGCCTGAGGATGTGTAGTTGCTGAGATACCAACTCTTCGATGTGACCATGAAGAAGCAGATTCAAGATTAATTCTTCATGCTCAGCATGCTAGCAGGGAGCAATCATCTCTCATAATCAGAAGCCCAGACGCTGATGTTGCGATCTTGGCGCTCGGTCATGCGGAGCACATTGGTGGTGAAGTGTTGTTCATGACTGGCAGAGGTACATGTTACTCACAGCGAATCATTCAGATCAGCACCCTTGCAGGCCAGCTGGGTGTGAATGTCTGCCAGGCTCTTATTGGGCTGCATGTATTCTCCGATTGTGACAGCACCAGTGCTTTGTATGGGAAAGGTAAGAAGAAGTCACTAAACCTTGCTCTTGAGAATCCTGAGTACTTGGCAGCGCATTTGAAGAGCTTGGAACAGACTATGCCCCATATTCAGAATTGATCTCTCTCCAGTAGCATGATAAAGCTCTGAAGTTCTGCACGCACGGCATCCACATTGATAAGACACTGAGAGTAGGTGAGAAAGGAAACTGGAAACCATTTCAACCTGGTGAGAAAAGAAGGGAGAGAATAATTTTGGCCACAACCCGCCAAAATTTTGGCCAAAATTGGCTGGTACCATAACAAGAGACACTAGAGGCTGGTGTTGCCAACTTTGTTGTCGTGACTGCTAAAGACGATACAAGATGCGGCGAGGAAATCCATTGTGACTGTTGCATTTTCTCCGAACGGCCTACAAATTTTCTGCAAATTTGTCCACCAATTCCTTGCCACTTGAATTTAATTAATCCATCTGCTTAGCCAAGGATTCTTCTCAAAACCCTGAGAAAAATGTGGTGTCCGTAAACCGTTGTAAGGTACACATTTTTCGAACGCCAAACGCGGGGTTCGTCTGTGTGAATTTCACGGGTATTTCATTCAGCTGAGCGTTTTTTTTTCAGTGCGGCAAGGACCAGTCAACGCACAGGAACCTCCACACAGAGCACGCCACCAACCGGGAGAAGTGGAGAGCCTATTCCACGGACTCTCGCCTAGAAACACTGCTGTGCCACAACCAGATTGCTTAGATGCAGCGCCTCTTTAGAGTCAAGCTGGCTGAAGCCAACGTTAAGGAAGATCTTGCACAACTGAAAAGGGAGCAGGTCTTGAAAGAACAGAAGCTCAGATGAGCAGAATGTAAACTGTACAAGAAACTTGAAAACTTGCAAATAGAAAACAAGGTAAAAAGCGCTTATGAAGAAACTTTCATTTAGAAATGAGACATTAATACTCAGATATGTAATGTTGATGATCGAAACTTGGTGGTAGAAATAGTAGAAACATAGGTTTGCCAAACTTCTCCAATACTTATGACTGATTGATTGTAGAAGAAAAGGTCAATGTAGGGAGTAACGCCTGCAGATAAATTCTTGCATGAAGCCTCCTAGCTAAGCCTGGCCCTCCTTAGACTATAAGGAGAATGAGTTCAAGGCTTCAACCTTTGCAAAAGGGTGAGATTTTAAAACTTACATCCATTTTGACCATCTTCACATGGCTCAGGGGTGCTGTTTTCTTAAAAGTGAATGGTGCTGTTTCCATAAACAGAATTACATGCCAAACCCCCAACAAATCTATTTACGTGATAGAAAGACAGAAGGGCATGTTTCACACTTTGTAAGTTGGAAATTTGTTAAGCTAAAACACGTTTTATAGATACACATGATGGATTTCAAAGGAAACGTGAATATAACTGGAAGATAAACCACATTTAACAAGCATGTGGCAGTTGAGATGGAGATTGAAGCCAGCTTCATTGAAGAATTGGCTGCCTGGCAATTTTCAAAATAAGAAGGCAAAAATCATTTCATATGTTTGGATTTCCTCCTGAACATACAGCTGCAATATCTGAAGTTGTTCAAAATGAATAAATGAGAACAAAATGATAATTTATCCCAGACCAACACATCAAAATATGTAAAAAACAAAGGAAAAACAACCACCACCACCATGATAAACACCAAAAGTACAAATTTTTTACATACATGTATTCCCTTCCTTTACCAGTCTGGGTATCACCCGTTGTCCAACAGCGCCCTTTCTGTCTGCGGTCCAACATCTGATAGATCTAAGCATGCAAATTTATGCGACCCCACGCGCCATCCAATCGGAGTGGACATGACGTCATTACATTCCAAAATCTGGACTAAGCGGTTGATTGGTCAATTGGGATGGCATGTTTTTGTAATACAACGGCAAAGAGACATTGGCTTTCAAAATGGGTTTCCGAAGACCCGATAAAGAAGGCACCCGCTGAATGGTCAGAATCTCGAGGTCAAGATACAGTCTAGTTGCATAATTCATTGCCGAATCTGCTCGCCTATCACAGACTCTTGCTGTGCAAGGGGATATTCCATAGACTATTCCTTCAGCAGCAGAAATAAAAAAGTTCTCAAAGTTAAGATGGACCAGGTGATACAGAGACCAGCAATGAATCCCCAATGCCCTCTCCTCCCCCTGCCCCCTAAAAAAATAACCTCATTTCTGCTAGAGGTACGTCTTCTCACTGCCATGGGAGAACTTATCTCCAAGATGGGCTGACTTCTTCAAGAGTTGTTTCCGCCTGGCCTCGTCAAATCGGTTGACCTGTAGGTCCGTCTCTCGGTCAAAGGGTCGTCGCTCTTGCTCGGTCATTCCTTCCTCCTTCTGCAAAGTCAGTTAAAATACAAAATAATCAACTTATGGATTCCGTGTGCAATTCCCCCTTAATGGTTTAAAGAGAGAGAGAGATGGTAGAAGCTGATAGTGTCTATGAGAAAGAACTCTTGTTTGGACTGATAAGGGCTGATTTACTTAATCTTATTAATGACTTCACCATGTAAACCTTCAAATATTAAGCCACCATACTACACAAGGCAAATTTTCTAAAAATCAATGGGCTCCGTTCACAAACAAGAGAGGGTCTTTGACCATTTTCAAGAACACAGTGAACGGGACACGTTACGTGTGCTTTACTGGTTCATGCTCGTATATATCGAAAAGTATGCATGACTAATTTCATTCTGAAAGTGCAGAATGCCAGCGTCTTCTCGTGAAAAACAGGTGTTGTCGGCAATGTTCACGAATGTCTCTCCAAGTGGTCTCCCCCAACTTTCCCTTTTTTTACCGTTGAGGGGGTGCTTCTGCGTGGAGCCCACAGTACCGTCACCTGCAGACGTGCCAGAAGGGCTTCAGTGAGAATCCTAGATGGCTTAACTCTTGCCACTGGGTTTTTACGCCTCAATGCACAGGCTTATACACATCACTGCAGTAGCAGTAGCAGTAGCTTCTGCGCAGTAGCAGCACTGCATCGTAGCAGCTGCCAAGCAGCTGCAAACAGACGGCATACCATCGGCATACCGGGTCGCGGGTATAGCCATCATCCGGCGAGGAGGGGTTAATACCTGACCATGAGTCAGAGGCAGAAAAAAAACACTCACCAACTTGCGCTTTCTGCTTTTGGAGTGCATGTCCATGAGGGACTCCGGCCGTGCGGCCTGGTTGTGCTGGGCTACCTCCTTGGCTAGTCTCTTGTCTCTCTCCGATAACTGCTTCTCCTCTCGCCTCTCCTTCTTCTTTTTCTCCTTGGAGGAGGATGGAGCTCGCATCTCAGCTGCTGCCTTCTCCATTCTCTCCTGGTGTAAAACAGTAGTATATTTGATTATTTTTTTATTTATCTTAGTAATACCAAGGATTCCCCGCCAAAAAAGGGACAATCACTTTAGCTCCAAAGCCTGAAGAAAAACCTAGAGGGAGAAGACAATGAAGAAATGTTCACTTTTTTGGAATTTTGAGAATTTGACATTGCATTTGAGAGCTCACATGACCTCTCATGTGACCTTGACATGTGGCAGATCAATAGCTCACAATGGCAGAGCACTTTCTGTGTTTTAGTTTTAATACTCCTTATAACTGCAGCTGTGGCCATTGTGGTCTGGTACCAAAGTTTACCAAGTGCCTTTACCTGCTGCTTCCTGGCCCTGTCTGCTGGGGTGTCTGTCCATCCTGACCGGTCCTTTTCATCTGGTCGCGCGTTCTTGCGGAATGTCCGAGTGCCCAGGCCAAAGTTTTTGGAGAATTCCGGGAGTTCAGTCATCCAGGAATCTCTGGAAGGGGCCACCTCTTCAACCTGGTGAGTACAGTATAGAAAAAAGGCTTACAATAAATCCTCAACCCGAACAGAACTCAACCCATCAAACCCCAACAGCATGTATTGTTGGAATCTGTCTGGATGGGTACAGTACATGTACCCCTAAACTGACAGTCTTTCACATTGGGTTGGCACACCTCCAGAAACTAAGTCAGAAATATGTGTGTACAGTTTCCCATATGGTGTTGGAATTTGCCAGGATGGGTATGGTTCCTAGTAAATCATGCTAGGGAGTTAGGGTTTATACGTTTTTGATGATAGTCCCAGATTCCATTGAATTTTATACAAATAATGAATGTTTGCAAGTGCCAGATGGAATGTTCCATTCCACTCGGCTTTGCCTCGTGGAATGGAACATTCCATCTGTCACCTCATGAAATTATTCTTAGCATTGCACAAATGTGGAACATTCATTATTTGTTTTATACAACACTAGAATGAATAATTGTCATCTGATTGGTCAGAGCCGCCAAAAGTGTAACCGTGCAATGGAACTTACTGTGGAATAGAACTTCCATTTTTGGGGTGCGGCCGTTGCCGTGGGTGGGACAAATAATTCAATAACATGTGATCAACGACTGACCAATCAGATGATAGGGATTTCCAATCAGATGACGGGGATTTCCAATAAGATGACGGGGAATTCCAATCAGGTGACGGGGATTATGCAGGTTCGGGTTTATTTTCCTGAAAAAGGTGATTTTACTAAAGACATTGCTTTGTAGCAAAGTTTGGACGAAATGAAAGCGGCTCTTAACTTGTGAAAATGTTTGGCTAATACATGTACATCTGATTATTTGGCCAGACAAGGAAGACATGTATGTGATTCATTTTTTTATATATTGTGATTCAGATTTATATATTTCAGGTCCATCCAGTCAGTAAGCAGTTTGCAGCAGTTTTACTTTTTTACACATTCATTTTTTTCATCAGTTCACATTTCCAAGTGAGGCAGGCAAGAGTCTTCTGCTGAGGTATTTTTCACGATAATTAATAAACAGGTGGAACACAGCTGTCAAATAAAACAGCTACATGTAGCTGCTGCCCAAGGACTTCATTGCAACCTTCCCTCTCAGGCTGGCAAATTCACCTAAGCCATCACAGCAGTCATGATCAATTAAGTGACTGGTTTTTAAATAAAGAATTCCCTTTATAATTTGATACAGCCATGCTTTGACTGGAAGGGATTTATATGCCACCTGCCGGCTTGGATTATCCAAATAGGCACAGTACATGTAGGTACTGTGCCAAGGGCCTACAAAATGTTTGGAGCCTATGAACAATTTCAGGACCTAAGAAAATACCACAATGTGCAAATAAAACACATGCACCCACATACACGTACATGTACATACTTGTTCCGTAGTTGTGGGGACTACTCATAAGTTGTCCCATGGTACTGTGGCATATGTGGGGACCGAAGATGTGGGAACAGCAGAAAGTCACAATAACTCGGTCCTTATTTGCCTAACAATAAAAAACTTCTCCATAACGCGGTGACGGCCCACCCACCAACACCCACGTAAAAAGGCTTTAAATGTGTTAGCGGCTCTATCTAAATTTTTGATTTCACCAACTGACGCTGATGTACATGCATGTCTGTATGCACATGTACGTATACAATTTTATTTTACGCGTAAACTGTTTTGTTCTTATGAAGCATACAGACCCAATGGGCTCTTAGAGCTACCAGTTTGGCCTGGCTTACTTGGTACAGGTTAGCATCAACATGAAATGCGAGGCTCCAGCACTTAGGCCTACCAGTGCTATGAAAAAGGCGCTGGTACGTGTACCTTACTAGGGCAGGATTAGGGCCTACAGAACAGTGGTGCCTAGGGCCTACAGGACACTTAATCCGGTCCTGGCCAGCTGTACTTGATGGTACTTGACTAGTCACAGCATGCACAGTGTTTACACGAATAAGATCTGACTGTTTTTAACTAGTCTGTATATAAATGCGTGACAATAACTGTCTCACAACCGTACACAAATTCTAAAATGCACCTTTCTTGTGAGCTTGTCCTTCATGGCCGCAGCCCTGGCCTCCAACTCCTCAGCAACTGTCCGCTGACGTAAGGAGTCACCCGCAGTTGGCAGCATCGGACCGATCAGTTCCTCATCCGAACTCTCGCCCTCCGAATCACTGCTATCATCACTTTCATCTTCAGTAGTCACTTTCCGGAATCCGGGAGGCAGGGCAGGACCAAGTGCACCTGTCCGCTGATCATCTGAAGGGTCTTTGGAGGACGTAAAACTCGGAGGCAAGGCTGGTCCATACGCAGCATCCTCTTCGTCACTTGCCTCCCGATTGCGGGTGTCTTTGGTGGGTTCCTCATCCCTAGTTTTTGAGTCCTTTGTCTTGATTAATTGAGGAGGTAAAGCTGGCCCTAGCTGACCAGATGATTCACTTGTTCTCCCATCGCATTTTTTCATTGCTGGTGCTGGTGGGAGTGCTGGGCCTATAGTGTCTTCAGTTGTTGATGTTGGGTCCTCAGAGTTTTGTGATCTCCTTAGATGAGGAGGCAGAGCAGGACCGATGGCATCATCCGGGTCCTCTCTGCTCTGCTTTGGACCAGTGGCTCTGTCATTTCTGCCCGCTGCCCTCATGTGTGGAGGCAGTGCAGGGCCTATATCACAATCCGACGAGTCAGACTCGGCCATTGTTGACCGCCAACCTGAAAACATACAATTCCAAACAGTTACATCATGAATTAAAACAGATCATGTATAAATTCTGGCAAAAACTGTGTGGAAAGTTTGCTATTTTTGTGCTTGCTTCAAGACGTATTTTCAACCAATATTGCCACTGCATTTCAGTGATGTAGTGCCTTGATGCTGGGCCTTGGCCTTAAGGCTGCCTTAAGGCTGGATGTTAGGGCCTTGGCCTTGGCCTCGAGGCTTGAGGGCAAAAGCCTTGGCCTTGGCCTTGGCCTTGAGGGATCACGGCCTTGCAATTTTTAGTCAAGGCTCTTCAAGGCCCATAGATTTTTGCATTTTCCAGATAAATCTGTTCAAAATTTTGCTGTTACCATTTTAATCGTATTACCATGGAGGAGGGAAACCCCTTGTAGAATCGCGTGTTGGGCCACTTCCACTTTTATAGCATCACATGTTGTTACCATTGTAGTAGATTTGCTGCAAAAATATTCTGTACGCTTGTGGGGCTAATGAGATGATCACTTAAATTGCATACAATTATGGAATAGATCTGATTGGTTGTATATGTCTCCCTGATAAGTGCTAAAGATATGCATGTATCTGTTTTAGATAATGCTGATATTTCTGACCATGTTGGCCCAGCAAATAAAAATTTCCAAGTCAGTTTCTTGGATCCCGCTTTTGTTACACTTGGGAGAATTGTGCGTCAATATAGAAGTAAATCTTAATTTTGTTTTAGTTAAACCATATTGAAGACCTGAACTTACACTTTAATAGATCTAATGCAGTCATAAAACGGTGTATGCGAGCATGTTGATTGCAATTTAAGACATGTTGTTCTTCTTAATGGGCGATTCGTGATGATGTGTCATGTGACTATAATTAGTTCTATATCAGTGGTCATTTTATAAAACAGGGCCTTGGCCTTGGCCTTAGCCTTGAGGGTTAAGCCTTGGCCTTGGCCTCGAGGCTTGAAGGTCTAAGCCTTGGCCTTGGCCTTTGCCTTGAGGGTCAAAGCCTTGGCCTTGAAGGTTTAAGCCTTTGCTCCAACACTGCTGCATTATAAACAAAAGCTGCCAGTGGTAGACTGGCGTCACATACAAAGCGCTAGTAATAATTTGCCGTTGAAAGTCAGGTCAAAAACAGAAAAAGCAAAATTGTGTTTCAGGAAATTTTTTTGAAAAGTAACATGTGTGACCAGAATGATGACTATAATGCAAAATGTTTGAGGACCAATTTGTACCCCCGTACCGTACCCTGCAGCTACATGTAACTGTGTTGTGGCGAAAGTTGAAATCACAACGCGCACCTGAAACTACATGCAGTGCAGAGTATGTGGTTACCATACCAGTTTCAGATGCACGCTGTATATTGAGCCATAACATGGCTGCGAAACGACAGTTCTATCTGAAAAGCCACTGAAATCATAATTGTTTTTCATATTTACGTCAGTACATGTATATTGTTCTGTTTTAAGTCGATCATTTGCTTCATGAATGACTGAGGTACAATGTATGCTTAATCTCATCTTGGTTTGGACAATAGGGTAAAAGGACCAGTTTAGTTGAGGCCAAATTTCAACGCCACCGCCATTTTCCGACCGCTATACAAAACCCATGGTGACCATGGTGGATGGGCATGAAGTCATCAATAGAGGGCACTTTATTTACCCCAGGACCCCCTACTTTATTTACCCCAGGACCCCCTACTTTATTTACCCTAGGACCCACTACTTTATTTCCCTATCTAAAACCAACCCCAACCTACCCACTCATTCCGTCTTGGATGTGCCGATGAGCGGATGCCGGGTGGGCATAAAGTTAATTTTAATCAATAGAGGGCTCTTCATTGGATGCGTGGATGCGCGGATGCAGGGTGGGAATGAAGTGAATTTTAATCAACAGAGGGTACTTTATTGGATGCGCGGATGCGGGGTGGGCATGAGGTGAAGTAAATTTTAATTAAATAGAGTCTGAGGGCGCTATAGAAAGCCGACAGCGCATCCACGCAGCCATGGATGCGCGGATATAGAATGGAGTGGCCCTGTATTCAATAGTTGTACCTAGTAAGAGGGGAACAAATGTGAGACCGGTTCAAGGCTAACAATAATCAACACTTGACATTATTAAAACGCAATGCAATGCCAATGCTTTGTTAATGTCCGGAATCTGGGCCAATACATACCTACGATTTAAAGACCAGATTTTAACAAGATAACTATTTCCCTGCCATGAATAGGCCTATGATTTATACTTTTCTAGTTCTACATAATTCAACAAAACACTATTTCTGCACAAACCTTTTAAAACACCGTGACCGTCGATACTCTTCCTGCTAAATTTAGCTTCGCCAGGGCGCTGCCATGTTGTTGAGAACGCTAAATGAGTCGTCGTTCACGATTGGCCACGTCATAGTGTCGCAGGATGCATGCATGAGAGACTTACAGCGATTGGTCAAATAGTGCACGTGCGTTTTTGTTTGCATCAATGCATGTGTATCACTTTTTCGGCCCAGTGAAAAATTGTTTTTTTTTTAGTCGTTTTTTCTTCAGTACTCAGTTGTAATAGTACCCTAATGCCGAAGAATAAGGGTGGTGGTGGAGGAGGAGCCAAAGGTGGCGGAGGAGGAGCCAAAGGGGGTGGAGGTGGCGCTAAAGGGAAAGGAGGAAAAGGGAAATCAGGCGGTGCTGCAGCTGCAGGCGGTAGGCCAGTAATGCAGTATAAACACTACTGACTAGAGACTGGCCTTATCAGCTTATGCTCATGCAATGTTGCTTGCTTGAGTAGCCGACTAACCTAATGTCATGTATGTTGAGTGCTGAAAAACATGCAAAACTAAATCAGGCCAACTTGACTCACTCTTGAGCCAGCAAAATTCTCCAAAATTATCTTTGGCCGAAGAAAAGATCTTTGGTATTTCACCAGCCAAGTTGAAGACTCAATTCAATTTTTAAAGGAGACTTTTTTTTCAATATTTTGCATATATGACTCAGACTAGTCAGAGTCTGGAGACTTTGAAGAGAGAAGTATAAGTGATTTCAAAATAAGGCTAAACATTAAAACAATCTGACCTCTTCATTCATTGTCATTAGTCTGGTAGCTGACTATGGAGAAATGTGTAGAAATAGAAACTAGTACTTGATGACCTATTTCTTTTGGCACAGTTGACACTGGTTGATTGACTACTGAAGGGTTGTTGGACTGGTTGTTTCAGGTGCCAGTATTTCAATTTCTTGTGTTGCATGACATTGTTTTCTATGCATGTAGGCCTACCTTAAGTTTTGGGACTCTCATAGTCATACACAGTATTGAGAGTCCCAAATTTTCACTCTAGCTTAACAACAGTTACTGTAACACTGGTGTTAAAATTAAATATGTTTATCAATCATGTCAATCAATTTCTAAACTGATGAGGGTGCCTGCAAGCATAGTTTTGTCGTGAAAATGTGAATACTGCAGAAAAATGAACAACCTGTAGGCCTAAACTTCATGTGTATTAAAAAAAAGGCTACATTTTCAATGTGTCCTCCCAGAACACATTAGCCAGTGGCAGTAAATTTTGTAAACTATACCTTATGCCGCTCTGTGTAGGGTTTGCCCTTAACTTTTTTTTTGACTGGCCAGCCGGACCAGTTGGCTAGAATTTTGACTGGTCCGCCAGGTTTTTGACTGGTCCGTCTTATACAGCGTGTACCCACCAGTTGATGAGTTTCACATAATTCATAATTAGACTATAGTCAACACCCATGTCATCATGTCACCTGAGCAATAGAGGTCTATTTTCTTCCTCCATGATCTGAGGCCTCAAAAAAAATTAGTTCTGCTTCAGCCTTCAGATTACATGCCTTTTAAAAATAGGGTCGGTCTGTCGGATTTTTTTGCCATTTTTTTTATTTTTTATGCAGATTGAATGGGGGTATTGGCCTCAGTAGGCGAAGATTTATTTTCATTGCACTACAAAAGCTATACACAAAATGATGGCCACAAAAAGTGAATAAAACCTACCTTAATTATTGTCAATATATTTACATTCGATAATTCGTAAAAAATAATGGAAAATTCAGGTCGTTCGCACCATATGCACAACGCTGTGCACAAGTAGGCCTACCCCCTCATAATGATAACAAATTGAGAATTGGTGAAGTTGACTTAACCTTGGATACGCACTGCAGAAGACGCCTGACGCTCAGCCAATGACACTGTATGGCTGTGTTCAGAATTAAATTACTTTCAAGTGCGTCCCTCGCGCAATACGCGTGTGAATCAGTAAGCGCACTCGCTGTGTCCCGTCCACGGGACACAGTAAAAAAGTGCCCTCTCACGTTCACGCACGGTGCACAAGTACCCCCTCAACGGTAAGAAATGAAGAGTTGGGGGAGACCACCTGAATAGACCTTTGAACGCATGACGAAGAAGCCTGATGCTCATGCGATGACGCTATGGCACAAACCAGTAATGCACGTGCTGTGTCCTGACCATTGGGTTCTCAAAAATGGTATTAAAAGCGCCCTCTCATGTTCCTGCACGGAGCCTATAAGGGCCTATATGTAAAGTGCTTTCGTTAATGAACATAAAACTTAATTGCAATTTTGCAGATGATGACGGAGGTGGGAAGCAAAAGAAGGGCGGAACAGCTGTCAAGGTGAGCTAGGGTCTGGTAAGGCCAAAAAAGTTAGTTTTACTTCCGATTCCATGGCATTTGATAATAGGGTGGGTACATATGGAAAAAAAATTTGGAAATTTTTTGTTTGTACAATCATATGGAGGCATCTGCATGTAGTCAAGGGTAAGGGGCCGTATCATAAGTCCGACGCCTCATAAGTCCGACGCCTCATAAGTCCGACAATGGAAAAACGAGGCGTTTAATTTGTCGGACTTAAGAGGCGTCGGAGCTATGAGGCGTCGGACCTATGAGGCGTCGGACTTATGAGGCGTCGGACCTATGAGGCGTCGGACTTATGGGCCTTTATTTGGTTAGGGGATACGATTTTGTCGGACTTATGAGGCGTCGGACCAATGAGGCGTCGGACTTATGAGCGGACCCCAAGGGTAAAAGGTAGTAACTGATGGTTGCTGATTTTTGTTCTCAAAAAAAAAATTGGTTAGGGGCTGTCAGAATAGGACCAGAAGCAGAACTATTTTTTTTATATTTTGCCTAAATTGAAAAAAAAAAACCAATACACTCGTAAATGGCTCGTACCATACTTTCAATGGGGGCGCTGTTCAAATCCTAAGGTCATCAACACTATATATCAGAATAGCTCTGGCTCTGACCGATTTCGGGGGGGGGGGGGGGGGGGGGTACGCTCTGGATCTGCACCTGCCAATGTTCCCCAATACCTAACACATGTATGTGCCCCCAAATCTTTAGGGTTTGGTTAGGGTTAGCTGGGGAACATATGTACTGGGGAACATAGGTTTTGGGTAACATAGGTATTGGGGACTTGTATGATGTAGCACCCCTCCGAAGACACACACACACTGTACATTGTAATACTGCTCGGAGGCAGATTGTGGCCTAAATTGTTTTGTCAACACTTTACAAATGTAAAGTTTTACCAAAATCAGTGGATTTCAGTCCAAGCAATGCTAACACAGTTTCAATGTCCCACAACAGGTGAGGCACATTCTTTGTGAGAAGCACTCCAAATGTATGGAGGCCATGGAGAAACTCCAGTCAGGGGTGCGGTTCAATGTGGTAGCTGAGCAGTACAGTGAAGACAAGGCAAGACAAGGGGTGAGTTTACTTGACATTCATTCTACTGTCATAATATCCTTGGCTGATTTTCACAATCAGTGGCGCAACTAAGGGGGAGGAGCCAGGGTATGGCTTCACTATGGCATTATTCAATGCTGGGAAGGTAACAGACTCACTGTGGAGGAGGTTGGTGATCCTCCCACAGCAGCATTGAATGGACCAAGTCTGGCCCAATCGCTTCGAAAGAGAGATGGGCACTCGTTGCCTGACCTCATATACACAATGTGTTGGGAAATCAGGTGTCCGGGCTATAGCCAGGGGAGCAAGGGAATGGCCATTCTGAATTGATTGAACAGAATTTTGTGTGCACTGGTACCAGATGTAATAGGCTTGTGTTGTCTTGGTATTTTTTTAAGCCTGGTACACGGATAATGAGTCAGGCACTAGATCGATTGGCTTAAATGACATGATCTTTTGCAACTGAAGTCTTGTCTCAATGGCGAAGAAACATAACCAGTAGCGAAATTTGAACACATTGCCGATAGTTCCAGACGCCTTGGATAAGTGTGCCTTCAGAATAACATTAGTCATGCGTACTTCACACAGTAGGCGCATGATAAACCAGTATGCGCACGCAGTTTTACCCAGCCACACGAATTAGAGGCTTTCGAAAGCGGTCACGAAGTGCCATCTAGTGTTCACGCTATTATAAGACAGACAGACAATTAATGGATTCCGTTGCCGTTCTTTTGCCAGGGGGACCTCGGTTGGATGACAAGGGGGTCTATGGTTGGACCTTTTCAGGACGCGGCCTTCGCGCTAGCCAACAGCTCACCAGATAAACCTATTTACACAAATCCCCCCGTCAAGACGAAATTCGGCTATCACATCATCATGGTTGAAGGAAAGAAATGACACATACAAAGACATCATCATGTTAATGTGGTATATCATAACTCTTTTACTGATTGTGTTTACATGCATCAGCTTGACAAAGACAGTAAACCTGAGTCTGGTTAATTATATGTACAATAGAAGACCTGATGTGTTGTGGGCATCTCAGAGGCCTAGGGTACTCTTTGTTATTTTAATTTAGTATTCATAAATACCTAAGACTAGTTTACCCATTCCTATTGGTCGAGAGCCTGCAATGTGGATGGTTTTAAACGGTTGATAAAACACTGGCTGGTTTTTCCAGTGTCGCATGAAATCTGGACTCCTATTAAATCCGGTGCCAGTACCGTTTTATTGATTGAACGTTCACAATCCTCACGTAGGCATGTGCAAACTACCGGTCAGTTAGTATTTCGTACATGTAGTCCTAAATACACACTACACATACCGGCACAGCTGCGTTCTGTGCCACGTCACGCAGGTAGTACACGTGAGGCGTGCGCTACTTTCCATGTAAGGAGTTGTTTATGACTTCTCGCGAGAGAGGGCCATACCATAGCATAGCTAGTGTGGTGTTTCGAAAAACATGAAGTAAATGTTGAACAAAACACTTGTTGTGACTTTTAGACCGAAAAGTAAAAAAAGAAGAAGAAATTGCCGAGAATCAATTTATGAATGGAAATAAATATGTGCTTGTCCGGTATTAAACACTATGTTTAAGACCATTTGGAGTCTGGATGCTGAAAATGACCCTCGCCCTCTGCTGGGGTCATTATTAGCATCCAGACTCCAACCGGTCTTACACATACATATGTACATTGTAGTGTTTAAAATCGGCCAAGCACATATGTATTCCCTTAAAAAAGTTAAGATAAATGCGCAAAAGGTTCACTTTGCCACTTCACTTGAAGCGATACAAAACCATTGCCCTTTCACTATTCCATAACGGATATTTCTATAGTTTTCAATCAAATACATAACTATGTGCCTTGTAGTTCTAAAGTGCCGTGTCCAGAAAACTTAATACAATCACACAACGACTTTTTTATTGACGAAGCTTTTTAACAATTTACTGATTGATTTCCAAATTTTTGGCCTGTAGCTTTTTGTGTCATACGTGTATGTATTACATGTATATGATCGGTAAGTTCAAGTGAAAATAAAGAGAAAACAACATGATCTTTAAAGGTAATATTACAACATTTGCTTCTACCCAGCTGTAATTTTCAGAAATGGATGGTTTTCGGGGTTACATGTACTATTTGATAGGAAATATTACACCGATCTGTTCAAAGTTTTGTGTTCATAGACGCTGGGAACACCAAGGAAAAAATGCTGTTCTTGTAGTCTAAAACCCTGACCCTACTTCTGATGAAACAGAGCAATTTATAGACGTCAGGGAATTGTCAGCAGGTTTGGGAACCAGACTGGATGGCTTGCACCCATTCACGGATGTGTAACCGTTTGAAAACAAAATGTGGAATAACTAAATTTGGTAAAAATTTGAGGTAAGCCCCCTAGTATTTGAAGGAATTCAGTTTTTTTATACAAAAATTCAACTTTTCTCGAAAAAGACAGCACACCAGGTGCCATGATTTCACAGGATGTTACATGTATTTACTTACTGTCAAGTAAGGTATTTCATAATAATTCGGTAGCTTTGTTTTTTGATGTTTGCAGATGTTGTATATGGCATTTAACATAGCGAGAAGATACATTGTAAATATTGTCGGTTTAATACCCTGACTCAGATTATTAAATGAGAATTTACCACATGTCAAGTAACTTTAAGTTTTGCCATTTTGATCATTATAAAGTGAAAACATAAACAAAAAGAAAAATCCTTGTATAAGGACGAGGACGAGCACGAGGAGAAAGCACTTAAATGTATGCACAGGGGAAGATGTTTGAATGCACGAGATTAATTATTCTGATGATGAATACTATAGTACATACTGCTGGAAAAAAACCCCGACTAAAGACCAATTTGACCTTGCCATATGTCACGTAGGGACTACCCGGAAACGTCCCTACCGATTAAACGAGAAAATCCTAACCCAAAGTGAAGATAGGACTGGCACCAAATACCATGTGAAATTATTCGGCCTGAACTGGTATCGTTTGGAAGAAAACAATCATTGAAGGTGGTTGAAGAAAGTGTGCACACGCGTGCCCGCGTAGAAAGTTTTGTACGTGTGTTGGCAACGGAATCCACTTCCGAGACCCCCAAAATTGTGCATATACGTTTTCTCTGTTCTCTCGAAATGTATATACATGTACTATCCACTGAGCTCAAACTTCGACAAGTTATTTGTTATTCATCCTTGAGAAATTGAGCAATATTGTTGCTTCAAACGAACACAAATACACAGAAAGCAAATGTTTAAGGAAGTACTTTGAGATACATAATTTATACACAAAAAAGACACACGTACCACTAAATGGAAACAAAAATTTAAGCGACTCCACACTCGTGGCAATGGCTTAGCAAGGGGGCCTGGGGGGAGGGGGGAACGGGGGGGGGGGGGGGGGACGGGGGTGTGGGGCACGTGCCTCAACAAATGTGGGCTGCTTGTATATTTTAAAATTAGTTCCCCCAGATGTCCCCCCCCCCCACCAAAAATCCCAAGTTTGGCGCTTGTCAAGGATTTGTTTTTGTTAAGTGTTTTGTTGAGTTATTAAAACGAAGAGGAATCTATTTTGGCTTCCCTTAACCGTACGGCTTCATGAAATGTGAATAAGCGTCAAAAGAGGTCCAGCCACCCCCCCCCCCCACACACACTTTCGAATTCAGCACGTACTTGCGGTGGCCTGAAAATTTGGGAGAAATGTTGTTCGGTCCGCCCGGCTCCCCCCTCATAACATGTTGATGCCCCCCCCCCCCCACCAACTGAAAAAAATCCTGGCAACGCCACTAGCACTGCTCGAGGGTGTATCGAGAGGAAATCACATCACATAGTATGTATCCCGCTGTAAGGTTTGCTAATTACATGCACTAGTGTGGCCATGAAGTCAGACTTAAAATAAAAATGTACGTTGGCATATTAAACACAAGGAACACCTAATTTATAAGACACTTCGATTCAGACTAACATCGAACCTGTGATATCGCTCATAAGTTTGACATGTGCACCCATTGGTCCTAGTACAAAACATTGTACACATATAGTGCATGATATAATCCACAAAATACGTGCAAAATAAAGCGTTTGAAGGGCATCTTCATCAGAAATCTTAACAGTTTAACAGTGAAAAACATTGAAAAAGTGTCCTTCGATATAGAATACTTTTGATTTTCGTTTGTTTAATTATCTTGGAGGGAATTTATGGAATTACCAGCTATGTATTTCACACTGTAGGCCTAGACGAATTTGACTTGAAACCTTTGGTTTTCGAATATTTTCTACCTTGTGGTTTAGCCAAGGCATGAGATCATTTAAGCATGGCGCGCGCGAGAGCTTTCTGCTTCGCAAAAACTCATTCGTGGCCGATGGCGTAAAGCAGATAGCTACCGTACGTGTGCGGTCAGTTTTACCATAATTCGATATTTAATATCGAACGTGTTTGATAATTATAGTCACTCATGCCCAAAGTCTTACCGTGTGCGGTGAACGAAAGCTATCTGCTTTCGGCTTGCGTGTTGAGTGCATGCGTGCTTCCTCCTCCCTTGTGGACATTTCGGATTCAGAGAAATCACTGGGCGCAGCCATTTTGCCCTCTACCTCATATGACAGAAACACGCAATTTTGGTAAAACTGACCGCACAGGGGAGCTATCTGCTTACGCCATCTGCCACGAATGACTTTTGGCGAAGCAGATGGCTCTCCTGTGCACCAGGCTTTACGCTCTTCAAAGCGTAGTGACGACAAACCCTTAGTGGTTGCAATGATATGCACTTATATTGAATCATTTGCATTTATCCCAAAAGTAACATACCGAAGTATTATCAAAAAGCTTACTTTGATTAAAGATCGTACATACTGGTACTAATTATAAACACCCTGTGAAATGATTTCATCTATACTTGCTGTCATTGAACCCCGCCGCACGCAAGAGCAACGTGCTGAGCAAAACAACACAATCATTCTGGGCCGTTTGCTCAGCACTTATAGCTCACAAAATATCCCCGTCTGCGGTGAATTATTGCCGAGTTTTCTGCCTCGCTAGGCCTGAGGATATATCCTGCTTTATTTCCTTCGCCTCGCGAGGCGAAAAACTCGCCGTGTGCGGTCAATACGTGCTAAGCTAAAAACATTAACTTGCCAATAAAATCACTGTACGCGTGATTGTAGGATATTTTTTGTACACATTTTCTAAAGCCTGCTGGCGTTTGTCCCCATGTTGTTTTGAAATCACGCGACCGATAACCAAGCATAATGTGCTTTCATTGGCTAGTCAATCGTTTTGGTTCGGCACGCTCAGGTTGACTGCGAATTCGCCCCTTGGCTCCCAAATGACCCTTCTTGTAATATTTTAAAGTGATGTTTTCCGTTAAAGTGGTTTACCAATAAGAAGAAAATTTCATTCTTGGTATGCATTTTGGATGACTTGTTTTTGTGCGAAAACTAAATCCGAAAAGTTTTCTCGCATTTAAACCAATCCTCAGGGCCAAGAAAAAGGGGTGAGATTTGTCAGGATTTTTTTTGTCGGATTTTTCTTGATTGAAGGATTTGTGTGGACCGGATTTTTTCCTGAATAGTGTTTTTAAAGGTTTTTATTCAGATAAAAGTAGAACAAGAGATTTTGGTATTTCAGGGGTGCTTTTAGGCAAGTTAAGGGCACCGTAGACCCTATGCGTTGGTCTTGGGTCGTACCCCTCAAACCCTCTGCTGACTATTTTGTACATTTGTTCATTTTCCTCCAATCTCACCCGTCCCACGGAGGAAGATAGTTTTCAGGTTAAACCCCAACTCCCCAACTTCTTTTCATTGTACCGCACCCTCTGTTGGCTGCCTCACTCTGTCCAGTCCGCTTCCACGTCCTCCTTGCCTTAGCCTTTAGTCAAGTCCCACGCGCCTATACCCGGACCATCCGGACACGTAACGCACCCCGGATGCTGGCACGTAAAAAAGACTAGCACGAGCGGCGAAGCCGCGAGGGCCTTTACTATCTCGTGAAACTAATCACTTATTCATTTATTCCCGTAATATAAATCAAGCAATATAAACCAATCATCTAACGGTGGTCGGCGGTTACCAGCAACAGCACGCGCGCCATCGCGCGAGTGCTGACTGGCGCCAGACGACGGCTGATTTACGTTAGTAATTCTGCATTTTCATTGGTTAATTCACAACGGGTAATGCATTATGCATGTCTACCAAATCGGTAGACAAATGTTAAGAAAAACATAAGCGTTTTCCACGAGATGGTAAAGGCCCTCGCAGCTTCGCCGCTCATGCTAGTCTTTTTACGTGCCAGCATCTGGGGTGTGTTACGTGTCCGGATGGTCCGGGTATAGGCGCGAGGGACTTGACTAAAGGCTTTCCTTGCCTCGGTACTGGATTCGTCCCGTAGAGGTCTGCTCGTACATGTGGGCGTAGCGTACCTCGTGCAGGCCGTCGTCGTTCATGATGTTGGCCTGGTCTGTGATGGGTTGAATGATCTGCTCGAAGTTCTCGCGGCCCGTCAGCCAGTAAGTTGTCATAATCCCTTTGCCCTGTGTAAGTTATAATATATCCTTCTTAGTAGTCTTTTGTCATTAATTATACACACACAAAACAAAAAGCTGTTGAGTTTGAGAGATAATAATAAGAAATTAAATTTTTCATAGCTAACATGGCCAAGATTCAAATATGGCTACAGGAGTTTTGTGAACATAGCTACGGGAATATGCGGCATAGGCCTACTGATATTGGGGGAACAAACAAGTCTAGAAATGGAAGAACAGAAGACATCCAAAACATGTGCAAAATAATCGAGCATGGGGCTGGGCGCTCTAGACCTTGAATATTTCTCTTTATACTCTATGGGGTAGGAGGGTTACCCTATATTCATAAAGTCCTCTGCACCCTCCCCCTCAAAATGCTTAGTTTTGAATGTAACATTTGTTGCTATAACCAAAGCCATTGACATGACTGTTCTCTTCAGAAAAGTGGATCGCTTGAGTTTCCCTTGCGCATTAGACCATATGGTCGTCCACACTTGTCTCATTGCATTGTTTTGATGCAATGCAGTATGAAGGGCCTACCCACTTTGATTTCAATATCCCCGCGTCGGCACAGCGTGAACCCGCCGATGTCCTGCAGCGCAAGGTAGGTTTCTTGGGTCACGTGGATGCGTCCAGCTACAAGGAAAAGGATAGAGAAATATATTAATTTTGAACTATGTTCCCTCAAGCGTTACCGGAATACTCTCTATAGCTGGTGATAGTTCTCCGCACATGCATTTACAGATGAGCTGGTCATGGCGGTAAGACTTAGCCACCAACAAAATGCTTAGTGAAGCCGAAGTTTGCACTAGCTTCAAAACATTTGGTAAACTGATTATTTGGTCATTTACGCTCATTGGATGTGCACGAACAAATCCATGAAGTTGATAAACGTTCTCTTCCAGTTTAACGCTTGCCGGCGCAGTGTACTTTGAAGTTTGTCCAACAGGCATATTTTGGAACGTGTGAGGGCGCTCTAGTGACACCATCACAATGATCACTAACACCCGAACAAAACTCAGTTATTGACACGTTTTTTGTAACTTTACTTGAAAATTAAGTTTGTAAAAATGTGATTTTTGCGCTGTAGCAGTATGTAGAACTTGCGTCAGTAACCTGGATTCACGTCTATTTATGGGTGCACCCAAGCAAATAAATTCCCATTCACAACCAGTGTAAAATCCCCATACTCAAAAATGCTTTTTAAAATACTCGGAACTCTCACAGGTATTCAGGCTGCACATTGAAGTGATGATCAACATGTCATTTTTTTTTTCATTTTCTTTTCAATTTTCGGTGGGTTGACCGATGACTTTATGAGAAATTCTCACCCAAATAAGACCACTCTATAAAACAAAAGATGTTTCCAAACATAGTGGAAAAGAATATCCATTTTGGAAAAGGATAATTCTAAAACATAGCTAAATAGCGCCACTTTCGGACCCAAATGCATCCAAATTGCTCAAACTTGAAAGCCCCAAGTCCCGGCCAGAGGAACAAAGCCATTTGTCTCCAATTCCCCAATTCCATGGCTCTCATCAGAATTCTCTAATATATAATAATTTGAGTGTATAACTTTCAATCATAAGCTCGGTAGACAGATTTTTTGGTCTATTTACTTGGTTGCACCCTTAAGTCCTCCAAAATGGCGCCGTGAAAGCGCCCTTGATCGCTGATTTTTTTTATTGCATATACTTACGTAGTCCCGAGGTCTGCATCCTTGAAGCCGTATTGACCGTGTCTCCAAACAGACAGTAACGGGGCATCTTGATCCCAACCACGCCCGCAACCACTGGACCTGTATCGGTGTTATCCAACAGTTTTGAATTCTAAGTCGTAACAAAATTCTGGCTCGTGTGCTACATGGATTGGATTAGGACATTGCGCGATGTCGCGCAGAGTGCAGCTGTGGCGATGCGTTGTGAATTGAGGACTGAAATACTGACTCACTGGTAGTATTGACCTATCGCGGTAGAATCGCGTTAGAATCAAGTCAACGCAGCTTGCGAAATATTGTCCCATTACATGATCAACAAATGGACGTGGAACGCGCAAAATCTGAGACAAACAAAACTTAGTGTACAAAAACTCCATAGGGTTGTCTAAAGGGCGTGGCTAACTCGCAAACGGCGATATCAATTGCGCATGCCTACGTGAGGATTGTGAACGTTTAACCAATCAAATGATAAGATGCACTGGATTTCTCAGGAGTCCATATTTCACGTGACACTGGAAAAAAAGGTGTAAGATCAGCCAGCCAGTCTCAATCATCTGTTTAAGACCGACCACGTGACGCGCTCTCGACCAGTCAGAATGGGTAAACTGTCTTAGGTATTTATGAATTAAGGTTTTAGTCTATAATTTGTCCGTAATCGTAGAAAGAACTTGTATGCATTGTAGTCTTTGTCAACCTAAGTCAAATCATACCCGTAGAATCAGGTACGATACGTTAACGCGTGCTCAGTTGTATGTAAGAAACAATGTAAGTGCAGAGCGTATGCATATGGATGAGAAATTACGGTAAAGCAAAACACGTTGTTTGCGTCAGAAATGCTGGAAAATTTATAATGAATGAGACAGCCTTCGATGAAGGTACCTTGCGCATACAATTCACCATATGCTTGCCTGTAACATTTATTTAAAACTTTAAGAAAAACGTATGCTGAACGTAAACGCAATTGCTTGAGTCTAGGCCTATACAGCGTGTCCCAATGAGCATTGTGCATGAAGAAATCACCACATTTCTAAAAATAGGAATGACAGATTTCGATTTCATGGCGTTGTAAAATGTAAAGTGTCGTCTATAATTAATCCGTTTTCTATGAAAACCCAAAACCAGATATATCCGACCAATGGAAATCCCATATTAAAGGAGTATAGTGTTACAGTAATAATGTGAGAATTAGCACCTGTCATTCCACATTCCAATTGTCTTTTAGACAATGGTTATGTCATTTGTGTAAGCCAAATTCCAACAGTACGTACCCTCAGCATTGACGGTATTCTGATAAAACACATTGATATCACTCTTGCAAGTACAAGTCATGGATCTGTCTTGAACCACAAATTATCAGTTACCAGTGTAAATAAGTGTTACACTGAAACCCTTTACTTTGGGATTTCCATACATTGATGGCGTATCAGTTTTGCGATAATTCTTTGATATGAGGGAGTGTAGTACATTTTTTGTTGTATCGTGTCTCTGCCCACACGTCATCAAAATCAAAAGGTTTAAGCGCCGCAAACGGCCAAGTGCGGTTTATTTTGTTTTGGGAATCAGAATTCCGCAAGTAATCTTGCTCATTAATAAGAACTCACCGCATGAACCTTACAGTTTTCATAAGCAAACAAACAAGAACATGGCTTAGACAACTGGACGGAATAGCCTGACCTTCTGCTGCCTCAAACGAAAGAAGAAGATCCCAGTGATAGTGGACCACTAATGAGCATGGCCTGCTAGCGTCTAGTGTCCAGACTAACCTGTATGAATCCCAATCCGTATTTTGATCTTCATGTTTTCTCGGTGAGGTACCTCCAGGAAACTGACTTGGTGGGCTAGGTCCAGCGCCACCGTTGCCAGCTCACTCACGTGCTTCCCGCCCACCATACGGCTTGGCAGACCTGTCAAAACACAATTGATTTTAAATATTGATCGTTGCTCTTATTGTCCGTTAATTAATAGTCTGGTGATGTAATGCAGGAGGAAATGCACTGGAAGAGAGATTTGGTTTCAGATGTCTCTTCTGAAATTCTTTACTTGTGCAGCACATGGCCTAGCAGTTAAGAGCACCGGACTGGTGTTTCAGAGGCAACAGTGGCGTGGGTTCGAGCCCGCCGGGTGGACACTTGTGCCCTTAAGCAAGGCACTTAACCATTATTGCTTCGTCCTTCGGATGGGACGTAAAGCCTTAGGTCCCGTGTGTTAAATGCAATGCACGTAAAAGACCCAGTAACACTTATCGCTAAGAGAAGGGGTTTGCCCCGGTGTTTCTGGCCTCCTGTTGTTACTCCCATGCGGAGTCCTTAGGAGAAGAACCAACCAAGAACCAAGAACAGAATATCGGTTACCGTGGTTGCTTCTCGTGACATCATTCTATATTTCCTTGTTTTGCATGTTTTACATATTTTAAATGTGACTCTCATAACAGGGCACCGAGTCTCCCAGAACTTCGGACTACATAATTAGACCAGAATAACCGCTAATCGGAAGATATCGTGGCATTGGGGATATACCAGTACCTGAAGCCAGCATGTAAGTCTCATTGACCGTCTCAACCTTGTAGACTTTGTACTGCTCGATGCGAGAATCAAAGACGAGGTAAAGACCATTCAACATTTCCACAACCTTCGGATGACAAAGAAAAACAAAATTACAGTGGAGAATATTTAAGTGAACACGATACATTTACATGTATACGGTAACATGCAAAGAAAGTGTTAGAGATATCTCAGTATCGGCAAGAAGTTGGGCACATTAACACCACTTGTGGACGGCGTTATCATTTCAATATGTCAATGTCATCGAGGACAGTATACTCAGATCAATGAAAACTAGGAAACCGGCAGGGTACATTTTGAACACAGTGGTATTGGTAATCATGTATCTAAACGATAGTTACCTGCATCGGTGTGCTGACAGCGCAAAGGTGGTTGAATCCCACGATGTCAGAGAAGAGCACCGAAGCACTAGCATAGGACTCTGCCTTGACGTCCATCTTGAGAACCAGTTGTTCAGCGACGATAGGGGGAAGCATGGAGTACAGCAGCCAATTGGATCGCTTCTTCTCCTTGTTCAAGGCCTTGGTCTGGGCTGCCAGGGTCAGGGCGTAGTTTTGGATGTCAGAGGTCAAGGACCAGATGGCTCGAAGGGTCAGGGGGCACATGACGATGACGATGACAACCAGTAGGATGCTGACGGCTATGGCTTCAGTGTCGTGTTCCAGGTCATTTTCTAGCAGGAGCAGAATCTCATTGGCCATGTTTTTCTGCACGTTCTCCAGGATGTCGATGTAGACCGTCATGCTGTCGAACCACACCGTCGCGGCCATGAAGTTTGGCTCGATTTCGGCCGCCTCGTTCACCAAGATGATCTTCCTCATCGTGACGATGGTAGCCGTGAAGTTGTCAAACATCCCGACCACATGGTTGTCGAAAAACTGGGTGATGAGCGGCGAGTATTTCTTGGACGCCTCGTAATTCCAGATGCCCAGGTTGTACTTTTCGATATACCAGACGTAATCTTCGTGCCTCTCAAATCCGCCTAGAGTGTAAAAGACGGAGCCAAGGGTGCGCTCGATGCCCGTCTCGACATTGCTGACGATCAGTAGCTGGTACGCCACCAAAACCTGCCAGATCTCGTTCCCTGCCGAGTTGCCGATGCTCTCGTACAGCCAGTCGATGAAAATCTGGAGGATATCCGTGTAGAAGTTGACCTCGTCGTAGACGGCCGTGTCGGAGCGGGTGACGGACCTGCGGTGGTCCACCAGATGCATCTTGAAATCACTCTTCTCCCGGAAGAAGGGCAGCTCTCTCAGGATACTGGTCTCTACCGGCCAGTCCTGAAGCTCGTCGATGGCGTTGTCGGTTTCCGGGTAGATCTCTGTCAGGAATTTGATATCCTGTGGGCCGATGACACTGACGTACAGCGCCGTCATGTCGCGCTCCCTTTGCAAGCGGCTGAGCAGGACCCCGATGTCTCGACTGAACCTGATGACGTTGCGGATTTGGATATCCACGCCGTTACTCTGTGCGATGGCTTGTAGATCCAGGACAGCCAGCACGGCGAGGGAGATAATCGGGACGAGGACAAGTAGGAGAATCTTAGCCAACTGGATGCGCTTCCCCTTGAGCGTCAGAGGGTTCTCTCGGCATTTGCTGACATCGTTGGAGTGAAGCAGCAACGTACGGACTGACTGGTCCAGCATGGACAGAGAACCAAACGATGAAAAAGAGCCGGTCACTTTAGGCGGGTCTCTGACCAGCTTGCCCAACAATATGTTGGAATTTTCCGCAGCGGAATCCATTTTCCAAAAGATTCAGCGAATGTGCTGTTAAAACTTAACCTGAATTGATGGAAACATCGTAGTTAAGTAATACCACACGTCGGAGCTTTTATTTGGAGAGACCTCAGCATCAGACAGCTTACTATCTTACTGTGGTTGCTTCCTTCTGTGTTTTTGTGTGTGTAATTACATCTGCGTCACGCAACAGCCTGTCCGTCGCAGTGGGAGACGCTTTGCAGGTTTCTCCCGAGCGCTCATTTAGGACGGGTATTTCTGGTGAAAGTCTCATTAAGCGAATTCATACAGCTTCTTGATCAGATGAAGGCCGACACTAGTCCGAAGCCCATCCAATTATACCATATTCAGAGCATTTATTTATGAACAGTTTGAAATTAAGCTACAGTCTTTGTCGAAGTTTCTAGGTCTGTTATAATGAATGTGGATAAATAATTGTGGGCGTTATTCTAACATCCAAACTGTAATTTACAGCCATGTTTTGTACTGTGCTCGTGGCATGAAACATTGCATAGTTTTAACGAAATAACATTAACTAAGACGGTACTGTTTTTTTGTAGTTTGCCTGATGATTCTTAAACCATCTGCTGTAATGGATGAAAATGTTTTGCAACTAGCTAATTGAATGTGAGGGAAACGTAGTCGTATTGACAGAGACACGTTGTGTGAAAGAACCAAAAAAAATTATATAGTGGTTGTTTCTAGTCAGGTAGCTAAACTGGAAAAAGTGATTCTCATAGATAATGACGAAATAAGTAAATAATAATAATTATGTAATATTGGATGGTTTTGAGGGGGATTCAAAAAAATATTGACCTATCGCCGTTTGCGAGTTTGCCACGCCCCTTAGACAACCTTATGAAGTTTTTGTCTCAGATTTTGCGCGTTCCGCGTCCATTTGTTGTATATCATGTAATTGGACAATATTTTACAAGCTGCGTCGACGCGATTCTAACGCGATTCTAACGCGATAGGTCAATTGCACGAGCTATAAGACTAGTTCAATATTGTTATAGCGAGTGCAATATATATTCTTGTATACCCCGAAAACAAGCAATCCACCATTATTATTATTTATATAAGGCTGACTATCTTGATCCGCAAGAAATAAAGTTCAGAACCCAGCCTTTATTTCTCAAATTTCGTTGAATTATCGCGCCGCTCGAAGCTAGTTGTGGCCAACCTCGTCCCCAGGGTGTCGAGCAGTACGCGCCCACCACTACCTGCTTTCTCACCCTGGTATTGGATCATTTGCATGTGCGAGATTTTGAACACGTATGCAAATGAGGAATAGTCTGGTGCCTGCATGTGCGTTTCATTAGCGTTTGTTTTTGTTTGCCGTGTCTGGGGTAAAAACAGCATCAATTTGCCGCGCCCTGAGTTATGAAAACACGATTTTTTTGGGAGATAAAATGTTACAATCTGGCCCGCCAGTTGTGTTGTATCACATTTCATATTAATATGAGCAAACTGGAAAGAAAAGGAGTATTATTGAGAAGGTTTGGACGTTATAATTGCAATGATCTTGAAAACATGTAAGGCACGTTGGAAATAACAACACCAACTACAAGATTTTAATCCATTACTAGCGAATTGTGGTATCGAATCAGGATCCAGGAAGAAAGTTTCCTATCCAGGGCTTACTATTGGAAACAGGGTTGGAAATAAAGTAAGCACCGGGGACGAGGTTGAGTTGTCTGTTGACTGGTTGACTGTGACTTTCTACGCTCAAGATTGTGCGGGAACCAGCGAAAATGCCCGGATGACTGCAATTCCATTCAATTCAATTCGAAATACTTTATTTATCCTTAAAAAGGCAATGACATATGGTTGGACAGCTCATTAAAGACACTCAGTAAATTACAAGTCAAGTAAATATAAATACATAAAACTTATATCAATCACAGACATGTCCTGATCAATATTAATATAATCCTTATAATATCAATAGTATTGCAGTCATCCGGGTACTTTATTGGCATAATATAATAATGTACAATACGCTGATTTATTTTGACCAGTGGAAGCCTGATATAAAAAATAATAAAATATATGATATTACACGTTTTAAAAAGTAGTACAGATTTGAAAGCAAACTTTGGGAGGTGCAACATTAACATATTTTGCTTTTGAAAAAAAAAGAGGTATCTCATTGATAATTATATTTAGGCCTGAGGTAGGGGGTTAAATTCATGAAGCTACTCAACAAAGAGTACTATAGACGAAATGTTTTCTGATCAGTATGTTGTGCATGTTTTCCCCCCACTGTTTTCTCAAAAAGTGTAATATCCATTGAGCTGAAATTTGAACATGTTGGGCTTGGGACAATTTGCTTTAGAGTGGTGTTATAATTGGAAACGAACACAATTCATGAAAAGCAAAGGATCTCATTCTTCTATTAAGTCTAACAGAATCCGATTATAAAAGCCAAAAGCAGTGTTTCCGAAACGCGCAACAACGAAATTTTTCTTAACAGTCTGAATTGATTTCACAAGCCCTTTACTTATATTCATGAAGCAACGTTACATACAAATGGAAAATAAAGACTTTCTATCGAGCCAGGTTTTTGTACACAATAAACTCTGAATGCAACTCAAGTCTCGGTAATGTTTACAACCAGCTGAGGCCATGTCCACTGATGCGTAACTCTATCCTGGGATTTTTTTGGTTGAGCTTTTTGTTTATCGTGTAGCAGTATAAGAGGAAGTCATTTGATCGCTAGACCAGGCGTGGATATAGTAGGCTAAATGCGGTGTGTAGAAAAAAAGGACGTTAATTGTCATTCCGGTGAAGTTGATTCATTTTCAAGATACAGTGGTACGGCTTCCCATTATAGGGACAAACTAGCCATCCTGTTCCATAATTGCCGGCTCACGCTTCCGATGAAGGAGCACACTCACTGTTGATTTATTATTATTTTTGTTTGCAGTGCGAGTGGGTTTAATCATTGCTCATGATTAAACTCATGGATGGTTTACTAGCATCTCGGTTCACTTCCAAATTCAACATGGCGGCGAATGTTGGCTGATATTTTCGTAGACGGACTGTTGTTTTATCACCTGTTACTTCATGGTGTTCTTCGTATATGCCAGTGTGTGTATTTTGGTAAGTCAAATACTTAAAGACTTCCAGTAGAGTGTAGACTAAAGAAATTTCAAATTGCCATCGAAACCGAAGGCCTGTGTTTTGTTGAGAGGATTAAAAAAAAAAAGGAAAAGGTCCTCAGTTCACCCAGTGCAAGCACTGAAATCCTCGGTTTCAATGCTAATTTAACATTCCTCAATATTTTCCTATTGTTTTCACATAAAAGTGTTATGGTACGCCTAACTTTTGTAACCCCATTGTGACGTCTAACGTTTGTAACGTTATATAATGTTAACGCCCAACGTTTGTAACGCCTTACACTAAGACCTATACATTTGTAACGCCTAACATTGGTAAGACCTAACGTTTGTAACGCGTAAATACAGATTGCTCCTCACACAATCAGCAGTCGACAGTGCACCTACCATACATTAACCTAACTTTTATGGCGAGAAATCAGAAGGGTGTATTCATTTCGGCATTAATTGGACAAAACGGATATATTCAATATTCGATTTTCGAGTTATCAATTCTTATATTCTAAAGCTTCTTTCATAATCTTGGAGTCTTCAACAGTGGAAAAGAGTATTTTACCACGAAGGCATTGGCGTCGCAAAGAGGGGCAAGGGGGGTGCTTGCCCCCCCCCCCCGAAAAGCAAAAGAGGGGGAAAAAGAGGGGAAAAGAAAAGAAAAGAAATAAGACGAGGTGCGAAGTCATAGTGCTGTTAATTTAATGCATATTTAACAACATGGGCATCCGCAGGGGTACGGTGTCAATGGGGGTAGGTGGGCAAATGTCCCCGCCCACCCTAAAGATATGATAAATTGAGAATATGCCAGAGAAAGTACAAGGATTTGGGGAAATAAAGTGATTTGCCCTCCTCTAAAAAAAATCCTGGCTACGCCCATGTATGACGGTTAAAAGTGAAAGATAGAATTTTCAACCTTTTAGTGTTCCGTACAAGTTCGAACAAACAAAATTATGTTTAAGATTTGCGCGTAAGGCTATGAACCGTTTGTTCTTTATAGCGCCCTCTCGTGAGTTCAATGAAAACATAAAGTTTTGCCGCTACGCGGCATTGTACTGCATTCCGAATCAAAGTTGACAAACAAATGGCCACTTGGTGAATAGTTCAGAGGAGTATTTACGTTCCGTATAATGATGTTTATAGAGCTGTATTATTATTATGATTTGTGCACACACAAGTGAAATGTATTTTGCCGAGAATGACGAACGTTCAAGTTTGTGACGTCAAAGTGATTTTATCAAAGGTGCCAAAATATTAAAAACACAGAACGAAAACTTGTCCGTCTCACGTGTGCCCCTTTTTATCCTTAAAGAAGGCTTATCTTTGATATTTTTTATCATAGAGTTATACAATTTAACACTGTAATAAAATGTATGTTTATCATCTCATCAAATAGACTACGCGTGCGTTTCTCCCACATTAGCGAAGCACGCGCACGCGCGCACCCATCCTTTGCAACTGCGTTGCACACACTTTTAAACGCAGGCCATTCACTACAACGCAGTTGTGCACGTTTTTGACGTTTTGCTGGTCAGAAAACGCCATAATGGTAGACTTCCATAGCCTCACAATGCAACGGGGAGCTGCAGAAGACACTATGCCGAGCACGAGCGTAATTTTAACCCGATGTAAGCAAAGATCTGACCCGCTTCTCTGACGTGAAGCTCCGAAGTTTGCCTGCTTTCCGCTGTCAAAATTGAAGAGTAAGATACTCTCTGAGATGATTGAGATGTCGTCTGCTTATCGCTAAAGGTATTATACAACATTAGCCCAGGTTGGACGACATCTTCATTGCAAGTACGACTGAAACGTAGGGAGGTAAGGGAGTCCACCTGGGCTATATACAGCATAATTTATGCTTTTGTAGTAATTTTCAGAAACGGATGGATTTTGGGTTAGTATTTTATAGCAAATGTCGTTCCACTGACCTGTTTAAAGTTTTGTGTTCATGGATGCTGGAAAAACCAAGAAATAAATGCTGTTCTTGCAGTCTGGTTCCCTGACCCTACCTTAGACGAAACGGGGAATTAACAGATGTCGGG